TTCATGGACGCATTGGAAGCAGTAGTCGTTGCACGTAAAGCGTCGCAACGCGTAGTTATAAGGGTCAAAGTATCCCAACAATCTTAGACATGCCCAAGACCTGTACTACAGTTACTAGTGCCCAAAGCCCAAGTACCAATTATGGGGTACCTGCATCATTAATTAGGGTGTTTGAAGCGCAAGAAGTACCTACATAAAAAGCCCTTGAAGTCACAACCATATTCCATATGGGCACCTAAAGCTTTTCTCTGGGGATCCCAGTCTATAACACAGCTTACATTGGGCCCTAAAATCTTTATATGGTACCTACTTTGGGCTATTTGGATCCCCGGGCCTTTGGAAAAAGGTGTGCAAGCCCGGCCTAGACTTCCGCGAGATTGGCAAAGCCATTACCCAATCTGCTCAAGAGGCGGGCCCTGCGAGCTTAACAAAACGCCTGCATTCTTACGGGCTTTCTAGGGATGTTTAGGAGTATGTAGGAACGGAAAAGAACTCGGAAATTACTCAGTTATTCTTGAGGACTAATTATATAGGACTAGTATAGGAGAGTATGCCGTGGTAGATCATCCCAATGATGGACAATCACATGGAAAAGACATGGAAGATGAAGTGGGAACTTGTATCATAGGGAATGGGGTTTTGGACTTCTGGTACAGCGCTGCGATGAAAGCTTTCAGGATGCAAGGGAGGGTTGCGAATGGCTTCCTAGGTTACAAGCGCAGACTGTATCTGATCCAGGTTTTAAGAGTTGGCCCTGACTGCACAACCCTCTTGCGCTCCATACCGACAACTTAAAGTATATGCTAAGCTGAATGACAAGCAGATGTAGCTGTAATGACAAAACAGTGACCATTTCCCCAGCATCTTGTTGACAATGAATTTTCTCTCCCGGGATATTGCATCTTGGCCCACTGACCTTTGTCAGAGAGGATCCACTTTCTGGTGCACATGAAGCCCCCAAGGTATAATCACTGAACCCATGCTCACATGCCCAGCCAAGCATGGAGAAGCAACAAATCCCGCAATCGTCGCAGGATGGCTATGTTGTGCATCCGACTCTCTCAGGCCCCGCTTGCTTTTAGAGATGCATGCTGCCATTCCCCGCAAGTGGTTGGCAAAGAGCAGTGAGGGTGATAGCATTTACAAAAAGGGTCCCCCCTATTGACCGAAGACTGCAAATGATGTTGGACATGAACATGTGCAACAGACACCTGCTTGGTGCTCTGAGCCAGCAATATAGTTTTCAACTCCCGACAATTTGTTTTGTATTCTATTTAAACTTGAAGTCTCAAGGGACAAAGCAAAGAAATCAATTGGCAGAACAGCAACTTTATCGATGCTTGCATGGGATGCCCTAATCAGTCACTGCAATTACAGGCTGCGTTCCACTCAGGCCTCGAAAGAATGTGTCTTCTAATGTCTCCGAGCTTCTGCCTGTTGGGTCAGCATGACACATCATTGGTTTGCCCTTTTTGAATAAATGCGACCAGCACAAGCACCCACCACAGCGATTGCTACTGCCAGGCAAAAAAGTCAATTCTAAAGTTTCAGGACCGACAGGAACTGTAGACAGGTCACGGTATCGGCAGCTATTTTCACGGCCGTCCCGAGATCATCCCGTACGTGCAGAGCTCAGCCGCGATGTTTCAGCTGGGCGTTTACGGAGGGCCGACAGGCAAAGACCCCTCGAGTCACGGCTTCTTCCAGTCTTTTCGCAAAATATACACCCAAAGGGTCCAAGTACCTAATAATCATACACTAACCCAAAACTGTACTATAATTACTATTACCAAAACCCTAAGTACCCAATTATTGGGTACATGGACCCTTAGGGACAACAGTTGGCTCACCTTCTGGAGGTTGAGGTCTGTCACACCTACTCACAGTCCATGTTCACAGAGACGCGAAGATCCTTTAGTTTGCAACATACCTAGATCAATGACACCGAGCAGGGCGTCATGAAAGCGGGAATGACGCCGGCTGCCCAGCATTAAGCGGTGTGGGCCGGGACGACAGTATTCAGAAGCACATGGTCGTATGCGCGTTCTTAGTAGGACCTGTCCCTTTGCTTGACAGCCGCCAATTGGCACACAGCTTCTATCTGAGTGTTTTCTGCAGCAGCAGTCTACATCTTGACATCCTGCGTGGCAATTGTTTGCTTCTGTAGCTCTTCTTTAGACTTTGGTTCTTGCCCGGTCCACTTCAACAAGTCCGCCCAGAAGTAGGGCGAGAGTGCTAAGCCCCACATCTCTCCGGGAGACGCTCTCACGTAGTGCCTCCTTCGGTTCAAGGTAGCAACACCCACAAACGAAGTCCACACTGGCCAATTGAGATGCGACCCTTGCTGGGGATCCATCCAAAGTAGGACCATATAGAGCTTTGCTGATTTAATTTCCTGAGGCCTGGAAGACAATAGATAATACTTACTCGTGGCTTCAAAAACTATACCTAGTGCCTACTTGAGGGACCATTTATTGGAACCCTACCCAAAGGGTCCATGTAGCCATATGGGGTATACTTGGACCTTAAAGTAGGTATATGGGAACCCCTTTGGGCCCTAAATATAGACCATATACCTACATGGTCCCTTTGGGGTATACACCTGCCAAGGAGTTGCTAATCAAGTTGCGCTTGCCAACCGGCTGAAACCCATGTAGGTAGTAGGTATGTCGCAGTAAGAACCCCTCCCCCCATTCATGGACCCTTTGGGCTAGGTATCTAAGGGCACGGCCAAAGAGCGCAGAGGTTTACCGTTGAGCCAGTGCTCGTGGACCTCGGGGATAAGACTGTGGCAGTGGATGAGCAAGACATGTGGTCAAACTCGCACGTTTGATGCTGAGATTCAAGGGTTTAGGGTCTATAGGGCTTAGGGCTTAGTATCCGGAAATCTTCTGAATACAGACGGGGTGGGGGACCTTCAGGAATAATGACAAGGCTTCTACGGGGGATGGGACAGGTCCTAAGTAGGACCATCAAGAATCGCTTTGAGAAACCCCCAAAAGTTCCCAACCTAGAAAGTCGATGGGATACTACCTAGACCCCCATCCTAACTTTGTGTATGGAAGATACTAGACGTAAAGTTAGGCCCCCAAAGAAGGGTAGGGTATAGGGGTCTTGGTACTGTGAATGACCCAGAGCGGGGGGATCCCTGGGATCCCTAAAACCCTACCCCAAACCAAGTGAGTAGTATTTTATTTGGGGATATTATGGTACCCAATATAGAGTAAGATTCTATCCTCCTTTTGGGGTATAATATTTTATATAAGGAAAATAATCTTACTAAACCAAGTGTGAGCTTGAAGTGTTGGAGGAATCTCACCTGCGGGTTGCTGCATGGCTACTGGGGGATTTCCCACAATTAGTTGCTCCCCTGTTTGGGATTCCCATTTCAGGGCATGAAATGGGGGGGGGAGGGGTTCTTACTGCGACATACCTACTACCTACATGGGTTTCAGCCGGTTGGCAAGCGCAACTTGATTAGCAACTCCTTGGCAGGTGTATACCCCAATGGGTCCATATAGGTATATGGTGTACATTTAGGGCCCAAAGGGGTTCCCATATACCTACTTTAAGGGCCCAGTATACCCCATATAGCTACATGGACCCTTTGCGTACCAGCTCACATTCAGATCCATTGAGACAGCGGCCAGCTGGTACAACATCTTCTTGGCTGCAGCTACATTACCGTAAGGGTCCAAGTACCCTATAGTTAGGTCCCTTTAAGGGGATGTATAGGGTTTAGGGTTTAGGGTCCAAGTACCCAATAATTAGGTACTTAGGATTCTGGTAATAGTTATTTTTGGTATTGGCTTTGACAAGTATATGATTATTGGGTACTGGGACCCTTAGAGTTCGCCAACGAGTGACAATGCCTTGTCGATGTTTCATTGCAATCCTAGGGGTTCTTGATTGCAAGTGTGTCACAACCTACTGGTCACGAACAGATGGTAGTTTTCAAACATCAAGGGCATTTTTGCGGGGTTCCTACAATGAGGATGATCATGTATAGGCGTCTATCTGGTGATGGTGACTCCAATTTATAGAACTCCACCTATTCATGACACCGTAAGAGCCCTTAGTCCAGCAGTCCACGCATCCAGGACAAAATCATGAATTCCCCACATGATTTATGTGACGAACAGACATCAACATTTTACTACAAGCTTGTAGATGTGACAAGCAGGCGGTGTTGCATGGTCGTCATCCTTGGTTGCTCAGCCCAACAGACAGCATCCTTCATAATTTCCGTTGTTGGACTTGAGGCTTCCCTTTTATGTTCCATGTTCTTTGCTATTTGGTTCTCCATTATGGTACCTTCCCCGTGCAGCATGATGTGTCAGGCTTGGCAATTCCCAAGGTCTAGAGCCTTGTTAGCCACCTCTATCTTGGGCAAACTCCAGCTATCTGAAAACATCGTAACCGGGATCTTGGGTGCCTCTCAAAGTGTGTAGGGTCTATAGGATATACTGCAAGTCCCTTGAAGATCACAGGTGGCTTGAAGCCCCAAGCCCTAAGCACACAGTCAACGATCCTAAACCTCAAGCACCCAAGCCCAAACTTTAAACCTTGGACCTTTAGCCTTGCCCTGGAGGTCTAATTCTACATACACTGCCTACTTTGGGCTGTAAATTCGGCTTATTTGGGGAATTTCGGACCTTAGGGCTAGAGTCATTTGTAGTCTACCTGTAGCTAGAAGGCAAAGGAGGCATGGATCCTTAGAGTAGCCCCCCACAGACTGAATAGTGTGGTAGGTTTAGGGTTTAGGGTTTAGGGTTTTGCCATTCCATCCTTTCCCAGGAAAAACCAGCAAGCAGGCTAACGCAAAAGCCTGAGCCCCACACACCCCCAGTTCCCGTTCCACGTTCCGTGTTGGCTTTCCAGTCCATGAACCCTGATTTAGGATAGTAGGCTCCATGGATTTTCCATTTCTTCACCCCCCTAAACCCTAAACCCCTAAACCCTAAACCCTGTGTTCGCAACCAGCAAGTAGTTCCTGGGCGATGGCCGGGACAAGTGACAGAGACCTTCATGCGGAAGTGGAGGCGGCCAAGATTTACAAGGTGCCGGCATGTTGTTTACATGTGTAGGGGGTGGCCGATCTGATTTATTGGGGGGGAAGGGGTGTGTATGCGGTGGTTCAGGCGTTTCTAGGCAGCTGGTGTCCAGTGTCAGGGTCCAGAGGCATCGCTGAACCTCACCAGCAGGCAGAAGAACTCAAAGTTCGGAGATTCCCAACCCATGGCCCATACCTTGCCCGATTCCTAAAAGGCAAGAGCTCAGGTGTGAAGTGTCACTCTCACTGAATCTAGGAAACCCTGAAAGGTGCTACAAAAGCATCACTTCAAAATGTAGACGCGTCATCCTGAGTACGTTGGGAAGCGCTTGCTCATACAAGTTCCCAATTGAATACCTCCTTTGCTCTGGTAAAAGCTTATGTACCTTATCACGCCCAGACTAAAAACCTTTAAGGTCCCAAATCACAAACCTCCTACGCCGTAAACTCTAAGTCATATGAACTCCCTAATTAAGCTCTAGACGTTGACCCCTAACTCAGCCCTCAAACTGCATTAAAGCCCCAGCTGTTCATGCTTTAGGTCACGCACTGTTGGAAATACTTAGACTAGTCAAAACCACTAAGAAATGCAACTGTCTTTTGCTGAGTTCGACCAAACTAGCCAGCGCAGAATCCCTGTTAAAGACCCCCCATCATCCGCTATTATAATCCAGGTAACACCCTGAAGTCCCTAATGCTCCCCCCCCTCTTCGGACAACCCCGTATATCCCATTAATGAACATGTTTCATAGGATGCTATTATACCATCCCACCTTCAACGCCCCTCCCCCCCCTGAACAAGGCCTAGATGATTGACTGACTCTTATTTGAAGGTGTGAGGGAGTGTTACGGCGAGAGGGTGGTAGTCGCCCCGCCCAAGAACAATCCCGCCACTCCCCTCATAATGAATATTCCCACAACTACATAGTAGATGTACTATACTATATTGGTGGTAGTTACTATTGAGGGGGCGTGGGGGGGGGGCACTAGGGGGGGGAATATGAGGATCCTATGAGCTATTGACCTCCTACCCCTATGAACCGGGGTGTCCGTGTGCTTCTACATGTTCTTTGCCATTTGATTCTCCGTTCTTTTCATATCATAAGCCCTCAGCCCGAAGTAGTAGTTTCCATGTTTGTTTTCCATGTTCTCGGCACTTGGTTCTCCAGTAGTCTATTTCCCCCGTATATATTCCTATATATATATATATCTTTGCATATCCCTCTAAGCCAGCATTCCTGTTCTGTTGTTATTCAATCCCTACACTCTAAAACCTAAGTAGGATTTCCGCAATTATTGCCGTGTTCTTTAACATTTGACCCTACCAGAGCATACATCATCCCCATGTCATCCCTACATACCCTCCAGATGATCTTAAACCCTAAACCTAAACTAAATCCCTAAACCCTAAGCTTCCCTGAAGCCCTAAACACTTAACACAAAACCCCAAACATCCTTTGGAGCAAAGGTCCGATGAAAGAAACAACAAAACAATCCTAAACATTTTCTTGAGAAAAGGTCCCGAAAGAAAAAAAAAACACCGCATCCTCTGAGTTTTGGGTAGAGGCCTGCGGCCTAGAAGCCCGTGAGCTCCGCGGCCTGGTGGAGCCTTCCGCCCTGAGGGGCGCCGGTTTCGGTGCTGCGGAGGCCTACCAGAAGTACCTCTAAAGAGGACTATAGGAGTTCTATGGGAGTTTGGATAGGAATATCTATTTCGTGGACCTCTACAGTAGTAACTGATTGCCCATGATGGCCCGTAATGCCTAAAACAATCAAACAAGGCTATTATGATATGCCACATACATTGGGGGTACAGGTAGGGCGTTTTGTGTAGGGAGTCATAGGTTGTTGGTGATTTGTGGTCCGTGGGATGTAGGGGGGGAGTTTACTGTAGGGTTGAAAACCTGAGGTTAGGACTCCATTGTATCCATGGGGACCCTGCAATAAGGCCACAATAAGGCCCCAATCAATCCAAGGTTCAAACCATGAACCCATTGCTTGGGGTCCCAGAGACCTAGAGTTTCCTTTTCTCATTATATCTAGGGTTTAGTTTAGGGCAGGGCCCTTGGAACTACCCGTGAAAAAGCTGAGGGCCCATACTAGGGATACCTCCTTCCCACTGAAGACCCTAAGCCCTCAATTCGCAATAAACCTAAACCCTAAACCATGAATCATTGAATCCTACACCCCAAGGCTCCATGTAGGTACTATTTATAGGGTTTAGGGCCCAATGTAGGTATTATTTATATAGTTAGAGCCCCAGGGACAAGCTACTTTGGACTGAGCACGTGTGAGTTGAAAGGTTCAGTCCATCGGCCACAGCTTGAAGGATCTTCGGAGGGCAGGCGCTTGAACTCAAAACTTTGATATGCCTGACACCGTTATAGGCTTCAGGGTCAGGGGATTTACGGGTTAGGGGCGATACGAATTGTAGAGTATGGGGTTTCGGCTTTAGGGCTGAGGGTGAGGATCTAGCACCTAGAGAGTCTCGGTTTTGGCGGATATGGGATTAGTAGGGATGACATGTGGCATGAAGATTCTCCAGCAGTGTCGGTGAGGTCCGCGTAGGAAAAGCCTTTCTGTTTGGGAGAGAAGGCTGCGTAAAGGGACACACAGGGATAGGCTTCCAAATTAGGATTGTTGTGCCGAGCGCTTGCTGTCGCAAGATTTGATCTCAAAAGCCATCTAAAGGACCTCTTCACATCTCATGAACAAACAAGGGTAGCACAGTGCGGGAGGTTAATGAAAGATAGAACCATGAAATTTGCCAGAGCCTTGTGCACCACTATGCAGAGGACTAGATCATTGACCAGGACTTAAAAAGCGGGCCATTCTGAAATTCTTGGATGGCAGATTCTAATTGAATTCTGGCAGGCACACCCCTACAGTTCATGATTATTTGCGTGACCATTTTCAGTGCTCTCTTCTTCCAGCTCGAGAACACCTAGCCCAAAGCCCGAAATCCCTAGTACCAAGCCCCGGACTGGAAAATATTAAAACAAATCTCGTTCAACTCATATAAATGGAATAGTTATGCACCGCCTGGAGGCACCTGGAACAACTGAGAGCAGCAGTACGCGGTTTAGGGACCCTAATTGGGGCAAGACTTCGTCCATAAAGAGGCTGGATGGAGGAAATCTCGCACCTCAAAAAACCCATAATGGTCTGCAACTCTGTGTGGCACACAGGGCAGCGCAGGGTTTCCATTAATGATAGGTCTGAGGCTTAAAGTCTATACAATTCTATACATAATGCCGCCATGGGGTCCTGTACAAGTAGTGTTTATTAATCGTACCTCAAAGATGTATATATTCTTATATGTTCCTACATCATCCCTATATTCTCTTTGGTAGGGTCTCCAGGGACTTATAAGTCTTGAGAAGGATGCTCGCTGAGGCTACGAGGCCCAGGAGTTGCAACAACTTGGCTGCCGTGCCCACCTCAGACCTGATGTTCTACAGGGTTTCTATAAGGGCTGTATAGGGGTTACATAGGGATTGTGTAAGGGCTACGCGGGGTGTACATACTTTTCCTATAACGGTTATATGGCGTCATACAGGCCACTTATATGAGGGTTATACAGGGGTTGTATAGGGATTAAATAGGGCTTAGGTATTTTGCCCCCAAAATGGCTGAAAAATGGAAGAGAAAAGAGCATGGGACATAAAATAGATAGTGGGATTGTACTGATTCATCGGGTTTAGGGATGTTTGGGGTTTCAAGATTTTAGGCTTCAGGATCTAAGATCTAGGGGTTTGCAATGTAGGCTGCCCTTAGAAACTCCTGGGATACGTGGGTAGAATATACGGATCCTCTTCAAAGCTGCCACACCTCCATGAAGTCTAAGAGAATCTATAATACCTTCCCGTCAGACTGAGCCCTATAAATCGTAAATACTCCTCTATTATGTAATGGTACCATTTGAGTGTGTCTGCAGATCGCTTGCTGTGTCTCCTGAGGACAGACAGAAGTCCATCATTTACACAGCGCCGTGGAGTTAACCGCATATTCTTGTGCACTGACAGGTTGAAACGGCGTGTCTATTTGAAGGCGAACTCACTTCGGAAGCCGTTCCATTTAGCAACCTGAAACTACGCAGATCAACACTCCCTTGGACTAGCCTTGGCACAGAACGCGAAACAGCTCAATACAGTCCATGCTTCAAAAGGCAGACCATATGTGCGGTAAAAGGAGGAGTACACAAAATACGGAAAGCAATGGTCACAGTGCAATGAATTGCCGATCATAGCCGCAGGTCTTCCATCAAGAGCAACCTTAATGTAGACATAACAGGGATACCATCAAGAGAAGAAGGAGCAGGAGTAGGAGCAACATCTCCCTGAACCTTAGGCCTTAAACATTGAAAACAGTCCCTACAGAACCCTTTATGTTTAGCCCTATAAGGCGTGGACGCCCTGCGAGCTCTGGGCTTCAAGGCAAAGGCGGCTTTGTCTGAGCTGTAATGGGCTTACCTTTGCAATATCTAAAAACCTAGACCCTCCATCTACCCTCTATATACCCCTAAGTACCCACTATTAGGGACCATATATCCCCAATTAAGGGTACAAGGAAGGTCCTGGAATAGGGTTTTGGGATCTAGGCTTTGGGATCCTAAGGGGCTATAGGGATGATTAGGGGATTGCGGGGTTCCAATTTGAAGTGAGGCGACTTCTTCTTGAAGGCGGAATGTCAGGATTCCTTTTGGGTGGTCCCTGTATTATGGATTATTGTATTTGGGTTCTATGTTGGGTCTGCTGCTATGTAGAGAAACTACCACCATGTTAGGAGAAGACAGCTCTGTTCTTCCTTTTCTGATGGTTGTGGTTTTGTACCAACTCTACTTCAGGTTGGCGTTTAAGTCAGGGTTTTAGGGTATATGGTTTAAAGGCTATCTCTTTGAAGACCGGACAATCGCCGGCCGAGTCTCTTTCACAACCTATGGTTCAGGGGCCAAAGAGTAGAAAGCTACTGGTACACATTAGCATGGAATTGCTTATAGACCTTGGGAAAAGATTCGAATTAGTGCAGAGCCTCATTGGGGGTGCTCCTAGCTAGTTGTGGAGCTAATGGCTTGCAACTCCCCTGGCAAGTACCACAGGCCTTGTGAATTCTTTTGGTTTGCGTGTTCATAAATTCTGCGGTGTTTCCCCATTCTGTTCAGTGTCCTTTTCAATTTGATTCTCCATGTTTATTGGGGATGGGGATAGCCTTACATATCCCCATATATCCTTATACAACAGGCTCCGTTTTATTGCCTCAGTGGCACGCCGAGGAGTTGAAGACGTTGGGTCCAATCCCTCTGCGCGAGCTACAGCGCTTGGGTTGCTACTTGGCTTCCATGTCCCAAAGGGTCCACGTAGGTATATGGTATATACTTAGGGCCCAAAGGGGTTCCCATATACCTACTTTAAGGCCCAAGTATACCCCATATAGCTACATGGACCCTTTGGGTAAGTTGGATTTGGTTGAGCCCACCTAAACCCTCCAATGTAGTTCCTTTTTAGGTTTGGTATGGCTTTTTGGTAAGGGTTCTTAGTTTGTAATGGGATGCTTTAACGGCTTCAGATGGGCAAAAACATGCCTCATGAACTCTAGGCGCGAAGTCTTAGCCCTATAAACACTCAAGCCCTTAAATCCTGCAACCCCAAGCCAATAAAATTACTTCCTCTACAGACCATACCCTATACCCTAAATGCCCAACTTCCCTCTTGATAGGTGATGCCAAAGAGCTTAAAGCCTCGGGAGACAGTGCCCTGGATCTCAGGCGCCACAGGGTTTCAGGGTTTAGGCTAAACCCCTTCTAATAAAAGACATTCCCGAATACCAAAAAAATCCATCCTATGTAGTACCTTTGTATATATCTGAGTGAATGTCTTAGTTGGTTGGTTTTTAGGGTAGTTAAGGGTAATGGGGCCAATGCAGGGTGTGCGATATAGAGCTTGGGATTGAAGATACGGGTGTTGGGGTTCTGTGTGTGGGGTTGCGTTGAGGTTGATTGCGCTTGCACATATGAAGCCTTGCATCGTTGTAAACTAGCAGCACCTGCACGGGTTGCTGCCGTTGACATTAGATCTTTCAAGCCGTCCCTGTTTTGGGCCAGTTTCAGGGAAAACTGGCTGCATAAATATGATTCCCCTAACCGAGCGCTTGACGACCGATGGAGTTGCTGGAGTTTCCCCAAACCATGTCATGATTTGGATTTGTTAAAAGCCCTTATCCTGAGGCAACCCGAAACCCGAAATGCCAAGCCTCCAGTCCTCCCAAGCCTACACGCCCTAAACCTTGAAAGCCTTGCAGAGCTCCTCAAAACTCAGGCCACAGGGAATCCCAATTACTTTTAGCTTCATGGATTATACGCATTTAGTTTGGGGTACGGGGTGTATACTAAACAGTGGGAATTTGGGTTACCGACATGGCTTTGCACTGGACAGGTTGGCTGGCTTCAGCCGCTGGGAACGCATCACTTGGTCTCCGCTAAGGAAGTTTACCCAGGTTATCATGATGCAGATGCAGAGTAAACTATCAGTTTTCCTTGCCCTGGTAATTCAATTCAACTTTCCAGGTTATGTATCATGCAGATTACTGCTCCTTGCGCTTGTTCCTATGTACCTCAGCCAGCCTCCATGTCATCCCCATATTCACTAGCATATCTGTGCAATGAGGTTTTCTATGTTCGATTCTGAGACAGAGAAAGTGCCACAACAGATTATTCCGGCAGTTCACTAAACAGACTCCGTGGCACGGTGTCCTGATTTGAGTGGCTATCATGTATGTTGATGTGAGGATTTCAGACATCAAGCTCCCCGTAGATACTGCTCAACATGAAAATATTCATCATAGCAATTCTCAGAAAAGGGACCTTTTTTTGGAAAGCCCCTACCTCATTTGATGCTCCCCGATGCCTGGTCTAACTGGCCTCAAAAGTTTGGAGGGTACTGTATTTGTTGACCCCCTTTTATGGGTTTAGGTATATACCCTAGTATAATATACCAGTTTCCATGTTCTGTTCCATTCTCCCTATATTGCTCCAATATCTACCCTAGTAGAAAATCGTACTTTCCATGTTCTTTCCATTATGGCCTAATGGGTTCAATGGGTTTGGGGCATGATGTTATCTATGTTTGCTCCCGGGGTTGTCAACCAAACCCTTAGCTCTAACCTTAAACCTTGAACCTGAAACCCTAAACCCTGTAAACCTTAAACCCTAAACCTTATAAGATCTAAACCCCAAACCCCAAATTCATTCTATAACTGCTTGGCTTGGCTACGGTGTGTGTTTTGTGCGGATTGAGGCTATGCGCAGCTCAAAGAAGCTGGCTTTACGGTGGCGGAGCTCTGGGAGGCTAGGGTTTAGGGATTAGAGGGTTTAGGGTTTAGGGTTTAGAGGGTTTAGGGTTTAGAGGGTTTAGGGTTTCGGGGGTTTAGGGTTTAGAGGGTTTAGGGTTTAGGGGGGTGCAGTGGTTCGGGCTCTGGAGTTCCCTTATGCAGGGTTTAGGGTTCTAGGAGTTTAGGGTGTAGATGTTTGGGGTGTAGATGTTCAGAGCTTGGGGTTTGCCCCAATGTTTACTGACAAGTAGGATGGATTACAACAGGGGGTCTATGATATGCAAGCGTTGTATGAGCAACAAGTTACAATGGTGCTGTAGTAAGATTTTCCCAAGGCAGGGGACCCCGATATAGACCCCCATATACTATAACCATAATCCTTATTATGGGGACCCCCGACAAGGAACCCTAGATTTTGGGACATAGCCCCACCGCCCTATACGCACATATGAGCCATTGTTCAGAAACCAAGCCCAGTTGAATTCTATGTACTTAGTCATAATGACTAGCTTTATTGCGCGTTTCCTTCTTTGTTTACAAGACTCCTCCTACCTTTCTTCATACTGCCACTAGCTATGTTTTGTGATGACCGTTGCTCTACTTCATAATGATGATGCTTAGGACGGACTGATGTTATGAAAAACTGTGACAAACCTCCACCGCAGGTTTCTCAAAAGGATCCGTACTGCAGCGGGATGCGCGCCGCAAACCTCCAAGTTCAAATCTCAAGGGCGGCGGGTTTCAATCATCCCTTTACGATTCGTAGAGTTGTTGAAGAAACCTTGCACTGGTAACTGCAATAGTGTAACAGAGTAGTCGCTTGCTAGAGTGAAAGAGTGCTGAGAAGCAGCATAAGCTAATAATATCATGATGAACTAGCGCAGTCATGTTGCTGAAGGGTATTAAGCTAGTAATAACCAAATAGTACCGCGCATGCATATTGCGATGTGTATATATAGATATCTCTGTGTGTGCGTGGTTATACCTCAAAGTCACAGCAACTGTAATAGTATGAGCGATCCTGGCCTGTTCCAGTTCTTCCGTGCAGCAGGCGGGCTGCCCAGCCCGGGCTCTCAACTACCTGGGCTTCCAAGCACGAGACTTTCGCCAAGCAGGAGGGGGCTTCTAGCCATAAGGATCCCCAAAGTTAGAGTTCGGGGTTTAGGGTTTGGGGTTTGGGGTTCAGGGGGTTGGTAGAGTTTGGTGGTTTGGGGTTTATGGTTTAGGGTTCGGGGTTTAGGGTTTAGGGCTCGATGTAACAATTTTTAGACTTGATGATCCAAAGTAGCTATTGCTTGGGGACTTAGGTCCACAAGGCCGCTTCTGTCCGGCTACAATTCGGGACTATGGATGTGCATGGGATTCCGCCTGGTGTCCGGGCGTTTACCAAGTAAAGCCAGCCCAACATGTATTCAGACATCATTGCATCTCAACCCTGCAATCATACGAAGCCACAGCTTTTGGGCTTCAATTTTCAGAGAGGCTATGAACAGGGAAGGGCGATTTGTAGTCAAGGCTCAGGCTCAGATAGTTCAATTAATATATAGGGGTCACATATAGGGATTATAGGGTATATGATGGGGTTATACTGGGAAAATGGAAAGCACAATGGACACTAATATATTCTTAGGATGCCAGGAGCAAAGTTATGTTTTGTTTGGCAACTTAGCCACTGACTCGTGGAGATCCTTGCAACAACGGCCGTTCTGTTGTGGCACATCTTTAGCACAGTGTACAGAAATTCGATGCCTCCTACTTGTAGAATCATCACTTAGACTACACAGTACCTAGCGGGAATTGCACACAGTTGGAGGATGGTAAGCTGGCCGTGAGTCAAAATGGTCTTGAAACCGAAGCCCTAAACCCTATAGTGTTCACCAAGAGCCTGTTACCAGACAAGCCTGATTTGGGGGAAGGATGCCATGTATGCCTAAAGCACTTACCCCTTGAACAAGAGGGTTTTTCTACAAAGAGGACCTTACTTTAGGGACCCCAAGTATTCCTGTCAGCAAAGGGAGTATAGGTCCCTATTCGGGCCTGTATAAGGACTAGCTGGAGAAACTCGCATCTATAGGGCTCAGACATAAGCCTCCTTCACCTACGGAACCCGACTAGAACTCCACAACCCATGGGCAACAACAGAAAAGAACTCCAAAACCTAAAGTTCCTGAAGGGCCCTATAAACCCTAAACCCTTGAACAGGCATGGCCCTTCATCTTCTGAAGGAGGCCTTAGTTCTTAATGGAGTGGGAGGTTTGGAATTTACGGATTAGGGTTGAGGGTTTGGGGTGGAGTGTTTAGATGTAGAGTTGGACTTGATGTCCGGTTCATTACCTGTTTAGAAAGATACCTTAGGGTCTGAGGATGGGACTGTTGTGAGCCCATGCAAGAATTTCCCGGAAAAACGCATTGCTTCAGGGTTTAGATGCGTCCTGTCCTTCTAGGATCACGGAAGTCAACATTTTTTCGGGAGGGCAAGGACCACAGCAATGGGTCATGAGTCATGAGGCGAAGCGTAGGGCATGTTTCTTCGGGATAGCTATGGATCACTCTGACTGAGTATTGCGTATGGATAGGGATCTAGCAACAGATTTAGCATTCGCGTCAAACAACCTCCTCCACTAGATCTGCTTCTGTGTAGACGTCTTGCCAGGAGGCACAGAATTCAGTATACTTCTCATGTCCCTGTCATTTTGGACCGTCTTGTCCGATTGATTCTCCATCATGGGTGTTCGACATCCTTGAACCCTTGGGGCAGGACTATAATATACCACAGTATATTATCATGTACTCTATAATATACCATCATATACTACAGTATACTATAATAGGTTTTATACCCATAATATACTATATTAGATTGTAATCTAGTATCATATACCATATTATACCATAATACATTATGATATACCATAATATGCCATAATCTACCATAATATACTATATTAATATATACATATATATATGATATATATGCCCAGCAGCACCGACTCCATGGTCACATGAGCTAATTGCTGCATTCCACGATAGGACGCGTACAACCAATGTGTCATTTCCCTCTACCCAAGGAGTTCTGGGTCCCAAAGGGTCCATGTAGGTATATGGTACATACTTGGGGCCAAAGGGGTTCCCGGTTCCCATATACCTACTTTAAGGCCCAAGTATACCCCATATAGCTACATGGACCCTTTCGGGGTAGGTAGGATATCCTTGGGCTAAGGAAGGCCTAGCAGGAACCAGTCGGGTATTTACCAACAGTGGCAGTCGCAACCCGCTTCTGACGGTCGGGAAGTCCTTACCTAACACAGGAACCAGAATTGGGGCAAATAGAGTGCCGGGTAGTTATGATGTTTCTGGGCTGGTGTGACCGCTCTCTCAAGGCTGGATTTTCCGCTTGGCAGCTTCTAGACGTGCCCGGGCTGCAAAGCTTTGGCTCTAGCCTGAAGGTGTACTTTCAAGGGAGTGTTGCCTACAACTGCTTTGTAAGTAGATTCATGCCTTGCTTATATTCATGGCTGTAGGACTGGAGGAGGGGGTTGACTTGATAGGGCTACAAGTCCAAGCAGGGTGCGGGGAGTGGCAGGGGACCTGCAGGGGACATTGGTAACCCCAACACCCATTTGACAAAAAAAACAACCACCCACACCTCATAGGTTTTTTTAGGGACCCGAAACCCTAAACCCTAAACCCTGAACCCTAAACCAACTAACAACCCACACCTCGGAGGTGTTTATGCGAGTTTTAAGCATCGAATGGGAGAACCCCCACACATCCTCGCATACATGGTATGCCTGCCCGGGCCAGGCTTACCCTTGGCTAGATGGAATATATAATCCCTGTATAACCCATTATAGTAGTTTCCATTTCATTCCAAGCTAACGAAAGGCAACTTCTATATACACCCAGTTTCTGTTTCATTTTCCATTTTCTGTTCCATTTGATTCTCCATTTCTGTACCCCTAATTTGGTCCCATGGTACGGTGAATATTCTATGCAATCAACCATATGCTTCATCCGGTCGGATTCTCAAAAGCCGCGGCCCCGGACGTGAACTTCCCGTTCAATCACCTACCCTCCCAAGGTAAGGCAAGATGAAAATTTGTGCTGAGGGTTAAGGGTATAGAGTCTAGGGTATAGGGTCTAGGGTTTAGGGGTTCGCATGAGCTTGGGCCAGTCTGTACGTATGTCTAAGCGAATCGGAGCAGGCTTGCTATGCCGGAGAGCTCCTGAAACCTATGTTACCTCTTAAGTAGATGGTTGGGGCTATATAGGGATAATGAAAAAATGGAAACTATATTATAATCGGGTATATATTGGGGTTATAGTCCCGCTTAAGTAGANNGTAGATAGAATATGGCTCTAGGTATTGGGCCCTATGTCTATAAATTTTATCAGGACGCCGAAAGTACAAAATAAACGCCCAAAACCTTTTAAACAACAGCCCAAAATGTTATTATTCTGCATACTTTTGGGGTTCAGGTACTTCCTTGCGGCTATTTGGATCCCTAGGGCCCATCCGGACTCAAAGCCCCAAACTTCCTGAACCACTACGGCTGCCCAGGATCCTGAAACTCCCAAACCCCCCCAAAACTAGGGTTCAGGGTTTAGGGTTCCGGCTGAAGGGTTTAGGGTTCAGGGACTTTAGGGTTTATGGTTTACCTGAACCCAAAAAGCATGTAGAATCATAGCACCCTTCGGGCTGATTTTAGCGGTTTTGGATTATTATTTTACATATTTTTGGAGGGTCCAAGTTAGGGTTCCCCTAAGGCTCCAATTAGCCCAATGTAGGTCATATTTATAGAGTTTGGGGCCCAATGTAGGTACTATTTATAGACATGGAGCCCCAGGGTTCACCCAAAACGTTTCGACCCCTAGTTCAAAGCCCCTCCACAGGCTGGCTATTCCAAAGATGATTGTATCCAGCTGGGACTCCTCAAGTGAGTGCGGGTTGGATGTCCTTTCCTTTCTGGGTTCTGTCCTACATGCTTTTGGCGTATA